CGCGTGGATTTTTAAATTTTTTAAATAATTTGTGATACTTATTTTTCTCTTCATTGCACTTGATTAAAGACTTGTTATACCAGATTGGATATCTATGGTGTTTAACATTAGTAACCGGGGTATATTTATTGATTATGCCAAACAATGTACTGTAAAAGATTTCACAACATACATTAACATCATCGTGATTTAGAATTTGAGACCAGTCTATTAAATTTAATTCATACTTAACTTTATTTAAGTCGCACTTGAAGAAATTTAATCTTTTGCGGGGATTTTGTTTTAGAGATTTAGATAAGCTATACTGAGGAATATTTATCAATATTGAGGGGTGATATCTGTCTAGTAGACTTAATTCGGTTATTTCATTAACAGTAACAGTCTCCAAATTAGAAAGCACAAGATCAAGAATACGCTTATTTGTGTTTAAAATCATATTAGCTTGCTTAAGACCACAAGTAGTTACGAGTTCTATTAAACTATCAGACTTTTTATTTGGAATATGTGTTAAAGTAGTTCGATAGAAATATGAAGAAGTTAATGATGGCCATTGATTTTAGGAGTATTAAAGTCTCCAACTAATAAAAAGTAATCATCAGGAACTTCGTTTAAAATAATGTTTTGGCAGTGTGAATAAAAATAATCTATATCACTATAATTCATGTCAGGAGGCAAGTAACAAACACAGATATTAATATTAGGAACACAATTTTTTTCGTGCATAACGGTAATCCAAATATCTTCAAAACCGCTATCCCAGTGTGTCTGACGAATAACTTTAAATCGTTTATGAATAGCAATTAGCACTCCACCACCTTCCTGTTTTTTAGAGTGAGTTTCAGCACGATCTCGTCTATAAACATTATAGCGATCATCTATTATTTCACCATCAAAAACACTGTTATTTAAATTCGTTTCCGTAAGGCAAACAATATCAAAATTTGAGTTTAGTACATTTATATAAAACTGAGTTAATTTACTACGTATCCCATTAACATTTTGATAATAAACACTAACCATAATTATTATGTAACAAGGGAAAACGAAATATATGTCTAGCATTTATTATGTTAACTTAAGATAACTTATTTAACGAGTCTATATTCTTTACATGGAAAGCCGGGGATTGCTCATCCTTACGAATATAAATTTGGCCAAAGCGAACCCAAACATACTTATATTTATTCTCAAAACAAAATTTTCTGGCCAAGCTGTGCAATTCTTTCGCATCTGGTGATAAATGTTCACATAAATAAATCCTACGGCGCTCACCATTTATACCCAGATGAGTAGTACTTAATTTTTCATTGGTGGAAGATTTATTAAACCGCGTAGCAGCTGAGAGTAGTTGATCGCGAAGTCGCGGCGAAGACAGCGTTACCAAGATATTTCGTGGCCGAACCGAGGTAGTATTCATCTTGGCTACTCTGCGGCAGGCGCGAATGTCATTATCGGAAATAACAACTTTTAGACATTCACACAGTCTCTTAAACAAATCCAAAACATTTTCGTTTCTACTCTCAGGTATTTCATGAATTTCAATATTTAAATCTCTTGAATTTTTTTTTATTGTAGCTGTGCGACTCTGCAGCTTGGAAAGGTCAGTTTGAGTTTTAAGAAGTGCTGCTTCCAGAGACTTAATACGCTTTTCTTTGTCTTCTATAGCCAATTTAAAGTCCCTTTGCTCAGCAGTAATGAAGTCAGTAGTGGCCGTTAATTCGTTTTTAAAATGCTGCAACGCATGGTCTACTTCGACAGCTACTATATCTTCAATATCCTTTTTTAGGGCTGAACGCAGGTTTGAGACAAAAGCTGAATTTAAAGATAATTTGGAATCGAAAAGTTTACTAATGCTTTCCATTGTAACGGGTTCAGTCTTTAAGCTCGTAATGCCATGAATAAAACTGTCAGATTGTTGGGGTGTCTCATTAGAAACAATGCTAAAAGAAGCGTTCATGGTTTCATCCAGCGAACAATCTTGCACAAGGGAAGGCCGGCAGGGAGTATTGTCTTTATTTATGATCTTACGTCGAGTTACATTCAGGCAGTATGGGCAACGTAGTGAAGCAAGTTGCGCGGGACTCAGATTCTTGGCAGATGCCACAGTAATATTCAAGCATTTATAACAATTCTCGGAAGAACAATTGTTGCATTTCAAACAATTAGACTCTATTATACCATAAAACATCCGTGGCACTGCATAATTAAATGTTTTATCTTTATCTATACAAAGTCGGTAGTAGTAAAAAAAAACAGGTATGATGCATAAGCGAGTATTCATGTGAGTGCACTACAAAGCAGGTACAGATTGAAAAGTTCAAAGCGCAAGCGCATCGCTCGCTTGGCGCAACAGGTAAGACCGGAGGTCGCCCACCGAGGAACGATAGTTCGAATCCGTCCTCAAGCCCACTTGTTTTTCAAACAATAAATATTTCTTTTAAGCAAAGCAATTATCACTCACAAACTGACCGCACTCTCACACTTCAAGCAAGATCGAAAGAGACGTCCGACACAATCCAAAATGGACGCTGCTCCTAATGTAGATTAACCACAGATGAAACGAGAGGGACCGATCTTCACAAAATAGTCCAATTAAATATGAGTAAAATACACAAAGATTTCGGTATTTAAACTAAAAAAAATTATAATCGGTATTACACGTTTGTTCAGTTCGACGTCTCGAAGTGAAAAAAGAAATCGAATCCATAAACATCCTAACAGAACACATATCTGCCGCGATCATAAGATCTTCCAAAGAAGTCGATGTGGAGGACTGCTTCCACCGCAGCATACTCTTCTCCGAGCTTAGGAATCTCTTAAGAGCTAGAAACGCGGCAATCCGGGCCCACGACCGATATCCCACGGAATCAAACCGGATTCAGATGCGTCGTTACAGCGGGAAATCAAATCCCGGCTAAATGACGCCGGAAATGAGAAATGGGATAGTTATTTAGAAAAGAACTAGCGCCCTCTCACCGAGGATACTGGTGACTAGCTAGGAGCCTCAAGTCCGAAACTATAGTTAATATGCCTCCCCTCGTACGCCCTTCAGGCCAACCACCGGCTCACGATGATGATGACAAGGCAAAATTACTGGCCGATGCACTGCAAGAGCAGTGCACAACTATTACTCAAACCGCGGACCCCGAACACACTAAGTTAGTCGACAGGGAGGTCGAACGCAGAGCTTTCCTGCCGTCCTCGGACGCTTTACGCCCCATTACCACAAACAAAGTTGAGAAAGCGATCTACAACCTTCAACCTAGGAAGGCAACCGGCTCTGATGGTATCCGCAATCGCGCCTTAAAATTTTCACCAGTCCAACTGATAGCAATGTTGGCTACCACTTTAAAAGCCGCTATGACGAACTGCATCTTTCCCGTGGTGTGGAAAGAAGCGGACGTTATCGGTATACATAAGCCGGGCAAACCGAAAAATGAAACAGCTAGTTACCGTCTGATTAGTATCCTCCCAGCGATAGGCAAAATATACGAACGACTCCTTCGGAAACGCCTCTGGGACTTTTTACCGCGAACAAAATATTAATAGACGAGCAGTTTGGGCTCCGCGCCAAACACTCGTGCGTTCAACAAGTGCACCGCCTCAAGGAGCACATCTTAATAGGGCTAAATAGGCGAAAACCAATCCCCACCGGAGCTCTCTTCTTCGACATCGCAAAGGCGTTCGACAAAGTCTGGTATAACGGCTTAATTTACAAACTGTACAACATGGGACTGACACACAGACTTATGCTTATCATACGAGACTTCTTGTCGAACCGTTCGTTTCGATATCGAGTAGAGGGCCCTCTCGCCCCCGTCATCTGACGGCCGCAAGGCTTCACGCTCTCCCCGTTATTATTTAGTTTGTGTATCAATGATATACCCCGGTCTCCGAAGACCCATCTAGCGCTCTTCGCCGATGACACGGCTGTCTACTACTCGTGTAGCAAGATGTCGCTATTGCATCAGCGCCTCCAAATCGCAGCAGCCATCATGGGACAGTGGTTCCGGAAGTGGCGCATTGACATCAATCCCATGAAATGCACAGCCGTGCTTTTTAAAAGGGGTTGCCCTGCGAAGACCACTTCGAGCAGCCCGCTCCCTAATAGGCGCATTAATACCTCCGCCATTCGCCCCATCACTCTCTTTGGCCAGCCCATACCGTGGACCTCAAAGGTCAAATATATTGGCGTCACCCTCGACAGAGTGATGACATTCCGACCCCATATTAAAATGGTACGTGACCGTGCCGCCTTCATAGTAGGACGCCTCTATCCCATGATTTGCAAGCGAAGTGAATTGTTCCTTCGTAATAAGATGACACTCTACAAAACTTGCATATGCCCGGTCATGACCTATGCAAATGTAGTGTTCGCTCACGCGGCCCGCACTAACTTGAAACCCCTTTAAGTCATTCAACCCCGTTTTTTCAGGATAGCCGTCGGAGCACCATGGTTCCTAAAGAATGTGGAACTCCATGGTGACCTGGAGCTTGACTCAATCAGTCCGCAGGCATTACCCCGCAGTTTGCAATTCGTATGTGATGAAGACGGTGAAGATAGCGCTATGTGCCGCTCAAATATCGATACAATTGGTATTTTATGTCAAGTTTCCTGACCGTGTCATTTCTCGAAGAGGCGATCACAATTAGCCACCGTGACCTTGTGGTTTAATACCTTTAACTTTTTTTTTCTTTCGGGCTAAATGCCAGGTACGGTCTATGTTAATGACCCATCAGTGATTCAAGACCTCAAACATGGAATTCGTGATGCAAAGGTTCATGAGCAGAATATGTTCCTGCAAGCGTACTCGCGGCTGCCATTTGCCTGATATTGTTTCCCATTATTAATAGCACACCTTCCTCTTTACAATTAAATGTTAAATATCAAAACGTACGTCTTATTGAATGACGCCGTATCTTTATTGCTCATACCGAACGTGGGAACATAATACAATAATTAAATTAAAAATCCATAAGATTTAGTTAGTTAGATGAAGTTAGTTACGGCATCGCGTGGTGGAGGCGCGCTGCGTCTGGCAGGCGGCGACGGCCTGCTCCGCCGCGAGGTAGAACTTTTCGCACTCGACGTTGTGAAGCGTCATTATTATCATGTTCTTGATCGTCCACGTGAAGATTGAAACGATCATCATCAGCTGCTCGCTCTGAACAGAAACATTAAACGTTGACGCCCCGCATACCTCTACTATAATACCTCTACTAGCCAGCGAGCGAGCGACTGCAGAGCACGTACGAGATACTCACAAAGCGTCCGGATCTACGGATGGACTTGCAGATCTGTATCGCGACCTGTACGTACAGCAGGCCGTGCAAGAACGTTTCCAATACATAGTACGTGATCTGCAAATTAAATACGTACATTTATGTAGCTACATACAATACATTATTTGATGTCGTGAAAATATGTGAATGAGCGACGTCCAACTCCTTGAATGAGCCGAGACGGTGCTGGTCGCTTGCCAGTCGACGCACTCACTACAGAGTCTGTTCTGCAGAAGGACACTCTGAGCGAAGGAATTGAACCAACGCGCGGAACCAACCCACTCTCAGCCCGACCCATCACAAATTACTTACAATTTTTTTAAAGAGAGTTGTGTAGACCTCGTACTCTTGCAAAATATCCAAATAAGCCGTGAACATGTTGTGGTGCACTGGATTGAACGCCTTCTCGTTAATTTTACGCGTCCAGAGCTGAAGGTAGCACCGGAGCAGGGCCAGCATCCTCGTCGCGTAAAGTACGTTCACGTCGATGCAGAAGAGCAGCAACAAGTACAGGGTGTCGGGCAACGACTGCTTCAGCACCACCACGTTGAGCAGCCCCACGACGGCGAGGTACAGGGCCGTCACCGCCGCCAGGTGCGCCCAGTTGCTCCGAGCGAACTGCTCCTGCTCCCGCTGGTNCTGAAGGTAGCACCGGAGCAGGGCCAGCATCCTCGTCGCGTAAAGTACGTTCACGTCGATGCAGAAGAGCAGCAACAAGTACAGGGTGTCGGGCAACGACTGCTTCAGCACCACCACGTTGAGCAGCCCCACGACGGCGAGGTACAGGGCCGTCACCGCCGCCAGGTGCGCCCAGTTGCTCCGAGCGAACTGCTCCTGCTCCCGCTGGTTGCGTCGCAGGACGGTCTGCAGCCGCTGCAGCCGGCACACGAGCTCCACGTTGCTCTTGCTGTTGACCACGTTGCAGATCAAGCTGAGCGAGTAGTTGATCACGAACGAGACCAAGTCGGAATACAGAGTGAAGAGGTGGAGGGAGGAGAGCCGCGTCCCGTGCATGATCGCGTTGCGGTAGACGGAGATGGACGTGAACAAACAGAAGCCGAGGAGCGAGTAGAGGTAGGCGAGCGGTCCATCGGGCGAGACCCGCCCGCGGCGGATGCTGTACATCGGTATGAACGACACGTGCTGCACCAAGTTGAACGGAAGCAGCAGCCGCTCGAGGCTGCTGTCCACCTGGCACCGCGCCTCCGTGTCATCCTTATCTGCAGCTGTCGTCTTTCCAGATGGAAAGCTGGGTGAAAGTTTTTCGTTGCAAAGGTCGCTGCGTGGTGTCAACATCTCTACCATCGGCTCGTATACAGTGGATACGGTTTGAGTGTCGATCCACAATACGTAATGAGTGTACGTATATGTGCGCCTGTACCGGATCGTTATACTAATGATCTCGGCTGTAACATGTAATGACAGTACGAGGCACGCCCAGCGGCGCGGCGGTGTGTTCGACACCTTATAATCAAAAATTAATCAGCACTCGTACTAATGTAGCCAACTTTACTTAATTATGAACTAGACGTGCGGAGACGCGCTGTAGACTGCGTGCTCAGTGCGAGGGTCGTACAATGACAGCATTCATCTCAGTGCTCAGTGTGGTCTATCGGTCGGCATTGCTCTAGTTATAAGCTTTAGCGCCATTTTCATACAGACTAAAACGATACTAGAGCTTACACTGTATGCTTCGGTTTAGATGCTAGTCCAAATGAAAGTGCTGAGGGCGTGCGATGAGTCCGCGCGGGTAGGTACCACCACCCTGCCTATTTCTGCCGTGAAGCAGTTATGCATTTCAGTTTGAAGGGTGGGGCAGCCCTTGTACTCTGTTTTTTTTTAATATCAAGTAACTTTAACTGTACTTTGTTATTGTATATTTTAGAGCGCAGGGTGTCGGCTCCTGGTGGTTCCTGCGCTGAGCTTGGTTGACGACAACATGACGTTGAGTCAGCATCGAGTTTGTGTCGAGAGACACATACAGATACAGATACATTCAATAGTCGTGCATTTAATATATTAGTCTCTTGAAGATTCTTATAGTGATGGTTTAACCTCAAGAGAGGAACGATCGGCACTATTGGTCGCAGTTGCTTTTTTATTTATTTATTAGAAATCCCAGTATTTCTGCAGCAATTAGAATATGTCAACGTATATTATATGTAGGCAGCGACTTGGCTATGTCCCTGTCATTGCTGACGTCCATGAGCGATGGTAACCACTCACCATCAAGTGGGTCGTATGTACACAAAAAAAAATTGTATTGTAATTGTCTTCACTTTATATCTTACATACGAATAGCCTATGTACTATATCCTCGACCTATTTACTAAGTTTAATGTTTTTTCTTTATGCTACAAACCGCTCTTGTTTGAAGCCAGAATCTCTTCTCTCTCTTTTTCTGCCCGAGTCCACCCAATGCTCAGTGCAAGTCTCTTCATATTCACTTTATTCTTTTCGGTGTCTTGTCTTTCGCGTCCAGTCCCTACCAACTAGCTTGACCAGGTCGTCCATCCAGCTCCCTCACTCGTCGGTTGTCTGCCCGCGGTACGAAGTCCAGTACGAGGTCTCCACTGCAGTGCTTTAGGGCCCCGCCGAGTGTCAGTGCGACGCGGCGACGGCAGATGCGGCCGGCACACTTCCACTTCCTCCGACCAATCATTTTGGCTATGTCAGGCAAGCTAGTTCTTCTGCGGATTTCAGTATTACGCATCTTATCCCGTTGGGAAATGTCTAGCACAGTCTGTTCCATGGCTCTTGCATTTTGGTCATAATTTACTTTTGTGAGTGTGTATCTCAGTCAGTTCATCCGAAGCTGTTCATCCCAGCTGTGTGCAGCACTTTATCTTCCCTTCCAGAATGAATCCTCTTTTTTTTTTTTATTGCTTAGATGGGTGGACGAGCTCACAGCCCACCTGGTGTTAAGTGATTACTGGAGCCCATAGACATCTACAACGTAAGTGCGCTACCCACCTTGAGATATAAGTTCTAAGGTCTCAAGTATAGTTACAACGGCTGCCCTTACCCTTCAAACCGAAACGCATTACTGCTTCACGGCAGAAATAGGCAGGGTGGTGGTACCTACCCGCGCGGACTCACAAGAGGTCCTACCACTAGTAAAAGCCCATCTTATAGTAAGGGGTCGAATCATCGCTCATGGATATTAGTAATTATTAGTAATACCGGGAGCACAGTTAAGACGACGAAGAGTTCCGAATTATATCCGGGAGAGATCGTCCCTCTCCTGTGTGGAGCTAAATGGAGTAGTTGGTACTTGGGAGCAGTGCTCCTCGCGAGGCAAGACCTGTGCTTTGTGATGTGTGATGAAATGAAAAGAAGTTTCAAAGCCAACAAATAAGGACACTTGTTGTATGTGTGCCACACTACCGACCGGCTCGAGTCAGACGTTGCTGCGGTGCACGCCGGCAGTCCTCTCGACAATACGAGGAGCTGTCCCGCGCCGCTTTCTTCTTCATTACTTAAGTTTCTGGGGCTGTCTTCAGATAATTACGTAACGGATGTAATTTTAAATCGTCGTGAAGATCGACATTCCTCACGCATCACGGTGATCCACGGCTGCCCTACAAATTAAGCGGGTTGGGTGGCCTGGAGACTGGGGAGAGTGTATGCGCGTGCGGGCCGCGTGAGCGAACACTACACTTGCATAAGTCATGAACAGTTTTTTGTTTCAAAGCTTTTATATCAAATGTAACAAACTGTTTATAAACTTTTTATATTAATTATTTATTTTATAGATAGTTATAATAATAATAATGTAGAATAATTAGAATCTCTACTCCTGGATAGATTTCTTATCAATGACAATTTTTTTCTCTTCTAATTTCTCTTTCTTGGTCTTCAAATCTTCGTAGATCTCGTCAATTCGTCTTTTTTTTGTTTCGGGAACTACCAGGACCACATAGAGTGCCGTGAGTAAGCACACGCCTCCGAAGAAGTAGAAAGCCGCATAGAGCCCCACCACGTTCGCGACCGGCTTGAAGAACAGCATCTGCAGGAAGGCAGCGAACGAGGACGCCGCCATGGTGGTCGCCATCACCGTGCCGCGGTACTGTCGACACGACGAGAAACTTTGTTAGGTACCGACATAGTTCGGATACAGCGGGCACACTATACTCGTAGTGACTGGGAACGAATCCTCGGCAAACAAAGACAATGACATGTACCTAATAAAATATCAAATTATAATATTAATAATAATAATATAATAATAATAATTTATTTATTTCTCTCTTAAAGGTACAAGGTACATACAAATTCAAATGGAAATAAATTAACCTTATAATTTATTTTGTAAGCCTTTGAAAGAGCTGAAGTCTGTACTAGGTTCAAAGACCTGTATTACTGATCTCCAGGCTCCCTCCTTCTTAAGACAGATTAGGTTAGGTTAAGTCGTGAACAGATGCTGCGGACTAGTGTTGAGAGATCATTAGGTGTTATATTTTAAGAAGGTCATTATGCGTGTGTGTGCGTGTGTGAATGTGTGTATTTGTGTGTGTGTGTGTGTGTGTGTGAGTGAGTGTGTGAGTGTGAGTGTGTGTATATGTGGGCGTGTGCGCGCATGCATGTTGTATTGTGTATGTGTGAGTATCTGCATCTATGCGTGTTTATTATTACTATTACATAGGTATAAATAATTATTTGCTTAATTGGGCTCGAAAACAAAAAGCAGATTACTTCACAGTCTGGAGTAAGTTCTCTGTTTGCTCGTAGTCTAGGTCGTGAAGCCAATTTGTTAGTGCATGTTTGCATTGGGTCTGTGTCATGGGGTATATATTGATCAGCTTATTGATTTTATTGTATATGAAGCTACTTAGGAAGCCATAAAAGCGTTGAGCTAACGATGTAGAAACAAGTGTTGTGGGACGCACACCATGCCCGCGCCGCTGACTTACGAGCAATGTCGGATCGTATGGAGTTTTCGAGTGTGTAGTCATAATAAGATTAAGAATAAATAATTTACGGACAGAAAGGACTTTACAGGTTTTGTAAAGATCATTTGTAGGAAACCTATAAGGGAGCCGCCATCCAACTTTTAAAATACATCTCTGGGCACGTTCAAGTTTTAAAAAGTGTGTTTTGGAAGACCCGCCCCATGCCACTATGCAGTACTGAGCAATATTATACTTAACATTAAAAAATTCATAAAGTTGTTAAAAATGAGGGATGTTACGCGCTACCGGGACAGAACTCTCACCACGGACATACGATAAGTCTGATAGAATTGATCCGATAGCGAAACGAAACTGTTCGCTGTGAAACTAACATTTAGAGGCTTCGTCTCTCCAACTGCGTTATGAGGCAGAGACTAGTCATCATTGTATTTATTCTAAATTTTGAGTTACAACATTTTAGAGTGCAGTCTCCATTGGTAACAGCGAATATTGGTGCGAGTGATATTCGGCTTGGGGGACCAATTACGCGAATCACGGCGAAACAGGTTGCACGGGTGGTGAGAGACACGAAGCGAGGAACATCGCCTCATTGAGTACTGAGCATCTACAACACGCAGGTGTTCACTTGCCCAGAGTGCTTGCCATGTTGTTCACTTTCTGTGTAGGCCATTCATATTTGCCTCAAACGATGATTAACACTGCAGTTGTTCCGATAGTTAAGAATAAAACCGGGGATGTATCCAGTTTGGGTAACTACAGCCCTATATCACTCGCAACAGTCATCGCTAAGCTACTGGATGGTGTAATTGATATTCAGTTACGAAGACACGTAAAGCTGCATGATGCCCAGTTCGGCTTTCGACCTGGACTCTCGACTGAAACGGCTATACTGAATCTCAAGCATACTGTCTAGTACTACACAGACATATTTTTTTTAATTGCCCATATGAGTGGACGAGCTCACAGCCCACCTGGTGTTAAATGGTTACTAGAGCCCATAGACATCTACGACGTAAATGCGCCACCCACCTTGAGATATAAGTTATAAGGTCTCAGTATACTTACAACGGCTGCCCCACCCTTCAAACCGAAACGCATTACTGCTTCACGGCAGAAATAGGCAGGGTGGTGGTACCTACCAGTGCCGACTCGCAAGAGGTCCTACCACCAGTAATTACACAAATTATAGTTTGTATATTGTATATGTGGTATAATATTATGTACTTAACAAAATTATTTTTTATTCATAAGATAGATGGATGATGTTAAGTGTTTACCGAGACATCAACCACGTAAATGTCTCCACCCTTGAGACATGAGTTCTAAGTTTCAACTTTCAACCACAGTACAACGGCTGCCCCGTCCTTCAAACCGAAGCGCATT